AAGAATATAATTTTATTTTCTTACGTATCAGATAAACAGTTAAATAATAAAACATTTTATTAACTTAAAGAAATAAAAACATTAAAATGTATTTCAAGTATATGTAAGCTTGTTGTTAAGTAACACTTAAAAAAGTAAATCAAAATAAACAAATTATGGTAATTAATATCTATTAATAACTAATTTTAGATTTTGTAAACTACTACACTACCACTACTAAAATAAACAATTGTTGAATGAACTGAATTGTTGATAGACATGAATGTTTAAAATAAGTGATAAGATAACAGGAAAATATTAGGAAACAGACTCGGAAACAAACAGAACAAAATAGCTGTATAATTAAATAAATATGAGCAAAACTGGAAATACTGCAGAAGATGCTGAAATTGTCTTCCATTTGCTTCTATGCAACTTAATTTTTATCGAAAATGGTATATGCTACCGAATTTCGACAGCTATACCTTTTTTTGTAGTATGCTTTAGAGTTTATAGAATCGTTTAGAAATGTAACAAATTTTAACTTTTAAAATATGTTTTTTGTTTTCGATTGTACCCCTCCAGTTACCTGTATCGGAGACACTGCTTTTCAGAAAGAAACCGTTTGTACATTATTCTTAACGCAGTGTTGATGTTTACTCGTTACAAATTTTGACATTTTTATCTTTAGCCGATTTAAAGATAATTAAGAAAAACCATTTGGAAAGTAATAATTTCGAAACACTGCATTTCAAAAACAGGGCTTCTAAGAAAAAACTTTCCCTGAACTATCCCCATTATTTACCCATGAGGAACTTATACACGAGTTTTTTTAAACACCCTGTATATTCAGTTACCAACTGAAGATGAATTTAATATTAAAATATTTATCATTATTGCATGAACCAAAAGGAAAAATTACGAAAGGATATTTTCAACATATATCAATTTTCTAGCAGTTTAAAAAACCAGACCACTGTTATACACACCAAAATGTGTCAATTAATAGTAGAAAACCACTGCTCAAAAATAAACGAAATCGATTGGAGTTATTTAAAGAATTAAAATAGCAGCTAAATAAAGCGATTTTGGATATAGGTGAATTAGTCGTTCTACACGTTCTTGCAGAGTACCTTGTACAAAAACAGGAAACTCAATTATATGTATGAATTTTGTCAAATTTCTCGCAAAATGTTCGTTACTAGTTCGCAAAGCAATTTACTTCTGAAATTATTTCAATTATCTCAATTTTCCACATATAATGTGAACTAACTTTCTCCAGCTTTTATGTCGTTACGAATAATTTTCGTTTATATAATAAAATGTATTTCATATGACGTAAACCCCCATTTTGCATAGTGATATGCCAGTAGCACATTAATCTATTTAATAATTAAATTTACCAGTCCCAATGATACCAAACAGAGGGGACATTAAGTTGAATGAATTCTAATTGCCTAATCGAAAATATAAGAACGTTACTGTGACATTGTTTCAAAATGTGTTGAACAAGGAACTCGTGTTTAATAATGTATGTAGTTATCTCGTTGGCACATAGTAAGATAAAAAAACAATTCACAACTCAGCAACTATGCACAGTTTGAAGTCTAATTCATAGTTCAAATGTATTCACATACTAGTGGTGCCGGTAAAATATTAATCTACTAGTCGCCAGACTGTCCAGAATGTAATAACCATTCTGAAATACGTGATTATTTTATAAAATTGTGTCCTCCTCGGCTGGGTTGGTCATTTTCCGCTTTCATCTGAGAAGAGGACGACAGTTCATTGCACTGGTCGATGCATGTGGCCCACTGACACAGTACTGAGGCTTGTCAGTGAAAAACCGATGGGTGTCCTTTGACACTCATAATTTTCGTCCACCAATAGGTACCTATATCCTTTGTACAGTCTTTGCACTTTACAAGGATAATAATTGTCCGAGTGTTCGCGAGTGTTCTACGAAACCGACGTAACTCGGGTCAACTTCTGCTAGCTGCATTTTGTAGTAACTGTACCATCGAGGTATGATAACATGGAAGGAGTATAACCGTACACTTTACAATAATGTAATGAAATAAAATTGTTTTCGAAAGAATTTTACTCTATTATTTTGTGAATTTAGGTGGGGCATTCTGTTTACCATTATCTATTAAATAAAAAAGTCAATAACTTCAGTTTTACAAAATACTTTCAATGGACGAATGCAAAATATACTGGAGTTTACAATGAGTATCTTCAAATATACAGAGTTCGCAAAAAATTGTAACATATGAGGTAAATTATTATTATTGAAATATTTAACACCCACGATTCAAAAATTTTGTCCTTATTCTCTCGTCACTACGCGTTAGCATAACGTTAAAATAAGTCACCCACATGTTGCGCTGTATAATTCTTGTATAGTCTAAAGAAATTTGCTGTTACTACATATTATCGTAGCGCGTTGTGTTTTGAATTTTTTTGTAAAAATTTAAAAATGTGATATGAAATTATCGAAAAAAGGTTTCCTTAACTAAATCAAAAATAAATATTAGGAAAAGTGTTGAGAATTTCATTTTTATTCCCATGCGAAGTTTCATGTCAAAAAACTAAAAAATTGTATATTGTCTCTTTTGAACAGTTAGTGTAATCTATATTTTTTTAATTCATCAACTAAAATAGTTTATTTTAATAAAATATAATAAATAGTGTCTCAAATTATAAACACCAAACTTTACTTAAAATTATTCCAAATATGAAAAAGTTTCCATAATCTTAACATGGGTCAGCAAATAACGAGAAGGTAGGAGGGTAGTCAAGTTGATATTCTTCAAAATGGTTTTTAAATATACTGAAAATGCCTAAAGATAGAGAAATTAAAATTTATAAAGGAGTTTCACTTTTATTGTTTATGACAAAATATGCACCAGAATCATTCAGGGACGAATAAAACTGGAGGTCTAATTTGTCTTTTTTTCTTCAAATATTTTCCTAAGACCTTAAAATTAACTCTTTACACGATAAACATTTTATTATTTAACTGTTTTCTAGCAAACAGGTAATCTAATCAAAATTTGTTTCCTTTATCTTAACGATAACAAAGTTTAAAGCATTTGCGAAAAAGATCGAAAAGATACATTTTTGAAAATAAAAATAAATTTCTGCCCTTAAAGAAACGCAAAATATTACATTAAGAAGCATGAGGAAAATTTTATTTAGTAATCTAAGTTTTCTCTGACCAAAATGATGCTGATTGATAAGTGTCTTGTATATTTTATCTGTTTACGTTTAGACGTTAGACCTATTCAATATATTCAGAAAATTATGTTTAAGAATATCACTTGAGTTCTGTCCTAGATCACTAGGTATAGTTTGACTTATGCAGTTCGAAGCAACCAACTAAATCACTTTTATTTCAGCCAAGATTAGCTAAATTAGAACAATATTATTTGCTTAGGTAACTGACTTTTGCAGTGTATTATTGTATATTAAAAAATGGTTTTCAAAAGTGCTCCATTATAAGGAAAATAAAAGAGAAATATGTAGATAGTATAGATAACAATAATCCTCCAATAAGTGCACCCATTTTGGCCAAAATTAAATTAATTTCATGTTTATGTGATATAATTATAGTTTTTACTGGTTTTAATTGAACCTAAAATTTAATTTTAAATACTTTTTGAAATAACTTTTCCGATACCCCATTTTTAAGATTTTCGCCATATTTTTCAATTCTTCCGCCAAATCAACTAACGTGAAACATATTAAAGTTAAGTTTTGGATTTTCAAAGATGCAAAAACAATTGCTACTTTTTTTAATTTCAGTAATACCTACTTTCTTTTTTCACATGTAGTAAACTTTTAAACTATTCGGGGACACTATTTTTAATGATCTTGCTGTTTCTGTATATTCTTAATTTCTTATAAACTATTAAGATCAATACGAATTGTCATTTATGTTTTTTAAAGATCTTAATTCAAGTCAATTTTCAGTATTTCAAATAAGAAGTAAACTTTATTGGAAATGATTTTCAATTCTCCACAAAAACCCTTGTCACACAGTTTGAAACAATATAATATTGTGAATAAATGATATGATAACAAATATTACAACGAAAACAGAGCCTGATATTTCAAAGAAAGTATAAAATTATTTTTTTTATACTTGAGTTATTCCCATCTTTTCACTTACGTTTTTTAATGAATAAAAGAAATGATTTTGGTCGCATCATTCAGAAACGCACCATTAATTTAACCTTATTATCATTCCGAAACTTTTAGCATTCAAAGACTTTCTTAAAGAGTCTAAAAGTAATCAGAGGATTAGGGATGTACGAAGAATATTGCAAGATATAAAATTTTAGTCATCAATTAGACTTTGCAACAATGTTAAGATGTAAATTTTCTTCGCGCCAATATACCTGGCAGGAAAAGTGACTTCGGATGGGGCGAGATCGAGCGGGACTATCGCTCTTTGCCCACAAACGTAAATCGGAGAGGCATATATTCATTAGTTTCGTTCTTAGAGCAATCCAAAACAGTTATTAACAATCAGACTCACGCGCATGCCGATATAAAGCTTACATAATATTCAAAATTCGTTGTTTCGTGTATCTAATGCACCAGGAACAAAGCTATTACTTCATACATTTAATTTTTTCCCAAAAACATGTGACTGTATTATACCAAACTGTATCAAATACTTGGAAAGTTCTTTGACGAAATATTTTCCCTGTTATATTCCCGCACCTAGATAATTATTAAATTTATCATATTTTTTGTGAAAGTTTAGTAGTTCAAATCTAAACCAAAAAAAACGTTACATTTTCCATTATGAAAAATGTCCAAACGCACAGTACTACGTCATTTCTCTCCACACGTTGGAATACCTCCATGTTGTTACCACCTCGATGGTTTTACCTGTTGCTCAGCGGTGTAGGAATGCCGCTACACCTCTCACCCCGCCCACCTTATTGTTACTTTGCCCGAGTCTACTCTACATGGCGAGTTTTAACCGTGGAACGATCCGCGAGGCAGGCTACGTCCGCGCGACCCGTATTTCGAAACGCTGTGCCGTGAACTGTGTGCAATTTTCACCTCCAGTGTTTTATTGTTAATTAAACGGCAAACAAGGATTTTGTGATACAACAGGTGTTAGTGCCAGGTAAAATAAGTATATTTACGGAGTGAAATGTGTCCGTATTAGTTTAAACGTTGTAGGAAGTGGTGAAAAGGTAAATGGATATGCATTGTACTGGCATTTCGTTAGGATTTCATTTAAATTAGCGATTGCTTTACAAATCTGAACATAAGCTGACATAGAAGATGATCTGACGTACAAAATTTATGTACATAGTACACCAATGAATGATTATATTTCTATCCTTTAAAAATTAGTTTTTCTTAAAAAAGAGGAAAAGAAAAAACGGTCACATAGAGAAGAGCATACTGACCAATTAATGACAAACGTATCTACAATCATTGATGACCTAAAATTAATTTTACCTTGTTAAGAAATTTAGGATATTGAAAAATATCTCTATGATGTTTGATCAACGTCAATATAAAAAAAAATAAATAAAAGCAGTAGTTAGTTAACGTGAATATTTGATTATTATTTTTTCAACATTATTTTTTTTTTCAATGATTAAATTTCAAAATAAAAATTATATAATCAATGCATTAAACATAGAAAGAGAGAGAGAGAAATAGAGAAATTAAAAAATGAGGATATAAATGTATCTGATAGAGTTTGATTTTTTAAGCTTGTTCTAGATTAACGAAAAAAGAAAAAGTAGCTAAAAACCGATCCTGTAATCTAAAACTTATCAAATATTCAGGGTGTTCCAAGAGGAAATGTCCACATTGGATGGGAACATGCCTTAAAGAAAATAAACAAAACAAAGTTTATATAAGTCTTGGTTCGGAAATGCACGTTTTTTGGATTTATTTTATTTTTCAAGGTAGCGTAATGATGGCTTTACATTTGATATAGAGAGTAGTATTTACATTAAGTACCTACTGACAAATCCGTACCAGTAATTCTTCATTTTCGTAAGGCTCCAGTAAAGTTCCATTTCGTAAAGTTTAACTTCTACGCCTATGATTTTTTTTAAGCATTATCGTTAAAATAGAAATTTACAAAAATTATTTTTGTTAAATTTTTGTGTTTTCTTAGACCTTGCTGTAATAATATTAATTCATATTTAGTGTAATTATTGTACTTTCTTTTTGTGCTATAATATAAAATAATGATATATGTTTTCAAAAGAATTTTAACCAAAATGATAATACATAAACATAGTTTAACAATATAACGTCAATAAATTTAAAAAATACAGAAACTAAAGGATAGATTTAACTAAATCGTAAATGAAATTATAAATAATAAATCAAAAAGAATACCTAGTATGTTTGCATTCTGTTGGTCCTTTAAAATTTTCTGATATTTTTTTTAATTCATCCATGTTATAGCATTATTTACATACTTTTTATGTTTAATTTTTGTGTTTATTTGGTATTATTTTCGTATTTCGTACCTTGTACTGATTTAGTTAATTCTTTCTGTTAATCTATTAATTGAAATTAAAAAAAAAATGTAGTTTCAATTGTAAAATATCAAGAAAGTGCAATCTAAGAAAATGTGAAAATTCGACAGAGTAATTTTATTTCCTAGACACATTATTTAAAAAAAAATCAGAAAAAAAATAGGCAGAGAAGTTACGCTTCACGGAAAAGACCCCCATGTCTACGGCACTGATAATTGAAATGAAAAATTGCTACTATAATTTTGTAAGAACTAAATGTCGGTATTAATGTATCAAATTTTGCAAATCTGTCATTTTGAGTTCTTCAAGTATAAGCAATTTTCTTTTTTTCAAAAAAATTAAAGTATATTTTGAAATCAATACATTTCGGGGCAAAGGTTTATATAATACATCAACTGTTTTGCTTATTTTTACCTAAGAAATATCTCTTTGAACTTGCACTTCCTCGTAAGACACCCTGTATTTTTAAAGGCTATTTAATCGCTGCAAAGTCACAGATTATAGTTCTTTGAAATTGACGGTTATAAAGAGCTGTATCAAAAATTATGCTCTGAATTTGTTGCTGGATACAAATGAAAAATTGTTTACAGTAGTTCTATTTACTTTGTTTATTAAATGTGGTTTCTAAATTACTCATGCATATATTTATGCAAGGCATAATTACCATAATTTATCTGCAACATGCAATACATGTTATTTCTGACTCGATTAGTTTATTTTACAGAAGAAAATGCATTATATCATGTTTAAATTTTTATAATTAATATTAGGAATAATACAATTGTTTATACGTGAATGAAAATATGGATACAAGGTGTCCCAAGAATGGTGGCAACAACTTCGACGAGGCTCGTGTACTTAAGAAAGTAAAATAAAAAGTTGAAGATAGGTCTATAAAATGCTTCGTTGATGAGATAAAGGATGTTAAACGCAACTCAACAAAATATATGTATTATTCAACACAGGGTAATAATTTATTTTTTTCCTTTAGAGATACAGATAGTCATTAATTTGATAAATTTTATAAGTAGATAATAGTCAAACCCTTCTTGTACTTACACAACTATATTGAATAAAAAAATGATGATTGTTGTTGTAGAATTTCAATCAGCAGCAAAGTTCGTGCTCGAACAAGCATCATTTTAAGCAGTAAATTTTAAATTACTTTAATATAGGGATTTTATACTTTCTTACAATGCTTACATTAGACAAATCAAGACATTGAACAAAAAAAACGGGATGTTCAATTTGACATAAAAAACCGCATGTAACATCTGCTCTGTTCTATTAGTATTAAATATGTTAATAATAATATCACCTAAAATATATTCATTTTCCACACGAAAATAGGACTGGAGGTTCTTGCAAATCCAATTGTCAATTTTAGCTATAGCTTCATGCTTTTAAATAAAAATTTCGTACTAGTTACATATTTCCTAATTTTTGTTTAAATTCCTTTCTAATATAGATACCAAATGTCGTCTTGATACACCCTGTATATACAGCAAAAAGGAATGATTATATGATAAAAAAACTGAAATAATCAAATTATTTGAAGAACATAAAAGTCTATGGAATAGAATATTTCTGACACTACGTTTTTCCATTCTCAAATTAAACAACAGAAAAAAATGACGTTACGTTTACGTTTTGTCAACAAAGCGTAAACTCGCTACCTATGTTTTCTTTGTTTAATGTCTTGACTACAATTTACTACTACTACTATCACAGTATATTAAATAGTGCTTTACGAGAATAACCTCTTCGGATAATGAAACAGCCTAAATTTATATGGTTTTATCTTTAACACCTTGTATCTCGGAAACGGCCATTTTAGGACCCATGTTTATAGGGAAGATGAACGGAAAAAAGTTATAAGCGAAAAACGTGAATTTATGTAAAACACCACAGTACACCACCCTGTAAACAATCTTCCCCCCATTTTTATGAATGTGGAAACTAATATGTTATTGTACATAATATTTACCATCTATAGTGATAAATTCAGCTTGCCGAAACAAAAAGTCGCGTCCAGCTCTATATTTCCTAGCCTATGATCGGACGAATAGATTGCCATAAACTATAAACCACTGCATTTAAACATAATTTTCACTAAAATAACCGAATTAACGGACACTTGTCCAGAATTACATGCCATATATCACGCCACGAAATGACCTAATGGGGACGACGGGAATAGACAAAGACAACGCACGACAACCATAGAATGGGGTTAGGTTGCATAATGAGGCATTTAGGTCTTGATTTAGGTACTCCGATTAAGCTACAAGTGCACCAAATATGAGTTTATCTGCGGAATTTATTTATATTGAATGAAAGTACTCAGTTTTAGTTCAAATATTATCACAAATGAGTAAAATTATCAAAATGCTCAATATTGAGTGAAAATGTACTCAATCATGCCAAGCTGTTCAATGATTTGTGTAATGTACCTAAGTATTAAAAAAGTTTTAAAAATTTCCTACAACTCTTATCCTTACACTTTTCCCCATCTTGAAAAAATAATGAAAAAATTTAAAGCTGACGTTTATTACGGGTCATCCTGTAACCAAGGAATTATGTACAATGCTATCCTGCTGCCCATCGCCACCAAGTAGCCGCGCCACTAAACCAACTATTTTCGTTCAAGGGAGCCCCTGGCATGTGAACATCATGTCCAACACAAACTCCAACCTGTCCGTTCTGGGCGAATCCACCAGGCTGGTGCCGGCCAACACCCCCGCGGTCTTCGAAATAATTACAAACACCAACAACGCACCCGCCGACCTATCTGTACACGTGATCGCCCCCAGCAAAAGAACCATTCAGGCCAGGGTACTCCCTGGCAATCGCACGGGTGTACAGAGCGTGGAGTTCGTGCCCACGGAAGTTGGCACCCATGTTGTGGAAGTTTCGATCAACGGGGAGAAACTCCCCTCGGGGCCTTTGATCGCTAAGGTTTACGACGCGGGGTTGATACAGGTCGCCGACGTTAGCGGGGGTGTAGTTGGTCAGCCAGTTCAGTTCAGAGGTAAGTGCAAGTTGTTTTTACCATTTAAAATGCATTTTTAAAACGAGTTCGTAAAATTGTACGCTGATTTTAATAATACAGGGCGTTGTGAATAGATGTCACAAACCTTAGCGGTAGTCAAAACTCATCAAAATAGTAAAAAATACTTTTGTGCATATCAACATTGAAAATGATTGCATAAGGCACATTTTTTTTAGTTTACTAAATTCTTGATATAATTTTAAAAATCAATAAATGAAATCAAGATTATTTTTTATACAAAAAAGTATTCCTTTTGAATATCGTTATAATCGGCCGTGTCGAGTAAATGGGAATGGTCATGAAAGTTGACGTTCTTCATATCACCGTACATTTCAATCGAAGAGTACTTTCTCATAAAATATATTCACGATCAGTTGTAGAAAACTGGTTCTTTTCAACCGAATCTGAAAGAAATAAAGAAAATTGTAGTCTTATTTTCTCACTCAATTTTCTCAGCACACATTAGTTTTTGGCGATAATCAACAGTAGATATCTTTTTTTATTTCATAGAAAAGTTTCTCTAAAGTTAAATTTATTTAAATAAAGAAGAAAATGAAACAATTGAACTTCAACTCCTATGAATAGAGTTCGGGACTCGGTCTGATGATCATAGCCGTCGCGTCAGCCTTTCGCTGCAACGCACCGTACGAAACCGTTAATAATTATGGCAGTTATTGGCTTCGCGTTGTTGTTTATATCTACTTGTTTATTTATTTGTTTACGACGAACACGCCTATGACTAGCCGACGAAAGCTCCGAACTCTACCTATGAAACTCTCCCTTACATTATGTTTTATTTTATCACAATCTTTAAAAATGACATGACATGTCTGTACCAACAATGATAACCACCTCTTAATTAATTTCCTTAATACTAATATAATCATTTCTAGTTAAAATATTTGAAGGACGTAGCAACAATTTTTGAACATTTTGCAGTTTTTTTTATATTTTGATAAAATTATACATGCTGTTAAAATATTCAGAGTCGCCTTGTATATGATAGACGTGACCGGCTGGTAGATTCTAACATCCAAAGTTTATTTTCGAGATATAAAATGTCTCAAATTATTGAAAAATTATGAGAGTACTCATGGTGTTATTAAAAAGTAATATATATTTCTTTTGTTATTAGCGTTTGTATTTTTATTTGTTTATTATTATTTAATAAATAACTAGATAATAGTAACAATATTTATTCAAAATAATAGAGTTCCCCGAATTGCATAGGCCAAATTTTATCTAATAATAATAGGTATTTCCTCTAAGACAAAATACAAATTTGTATAGGAATTGTCGAAATAATTACCTTACAAACTAAATCATAAAAAACTGGTGTGAAGTATAAAAACAACTGTCAAAGAAAAAACTTTTTAGAAATTGTTTAAAAACTTATAATCACTTAAATTGTTTAAAATTTTAAGACCAAGATGAATTCGTTGAAATTTTATACTTATAAAAATGTATATGATATTTATCATTTTGCCTTATATTAATGCAATGAATATTCTTCAAAAATCTATAACTATTCGTATATACATATACAGATAGTTCATAAATCCTCAAACAAAAAGTTAAAATTCTAAATTCCTTAAATATATTCCTACACGACACATTATTCACAACACCTGCTATACACCTTAATATACTTTTTTGAATAATAAAAATATCTCATTGTAAGGTTGAACCACCTCATAAGCACAAACCATACCTCAACCTAGACTATACTAAACCGTACTATGTATTAAGTACTTAGCTGTTCTTTAGTTAAAACAAATTTTACATAACGAATTAAATATGTTACAGAACTTAATTTACTTTTCAGTTGTTCACAATGTAATTTACAATTTGTCAATAATAATTCCCAAAAACTTAATAGCGTTTTACAGTATTGTTTGTTAGAAGCGTATCAGTTATTTAAAATATCTAGCACCTTATTGCATTTTTTATATTTTGCATCATTATCATTATCGGATGATACAACTCAAAATATGAAAAAAGTTCCCAGGATCGAGAAGTGTTAAGTGGTTCAAGTTAAAATTCTTTAAAATTGAATTTTTAATATATTCAAAATGCCTAAAGATAAACGAAAATGTACATAGAAATTTTACTTTTTGTCTTCTGAAGACAAACTATGATTCAAAATCATTCATTCAATATTTTGTCCCATCTTGTTTGGTTAATACTTTTTCATTTATTTAATATCATATCCAAAAAACGTCTCTTTCATTTCTTATTTAAAACTACTCAATTTCAAGTATAAATGATTTAAGGTTTCTTTAGTGATTTAGATGAGGAAAACAAAATTTGATTACATAATTTTTATTAGGTAATGCTCTTTTGTCTGAGATAATCCGAATTTTCAAGTTCAAGTCAAAAAAAAAAAAAAATGCCACACCAAAAAAAAATAGGGCAAAATTTTAATTAGGTTAATAATTTTAATTTTGAATTATAAAGGATTAAAAGATAAACGCTTGTGTAAATGTTCATTTGTTTCATTAACTTGTTGAAATATATTACAAAATATTAATTTTAAGGAGACTTGAACGCCCTGTATCCCAAAAACTAAGCAATTCCAAACTTTTTTTTTTGTTATCTTTAATATCACCTGATTTAGTAATCTTATATTCCATTTGAAAAAATTAAATTATAGGAATTTCAAAATTGGTAAGTTGGCTCTACTGACATTATTACCAACCACTTTTTTTATTTTCTTCAACAAGTGCCTTTCACTATGTCAGTAGCGCTAGTTCTTTGTATAATAATTAATTCATTTCACTCAAGTAATTTTTGTTGTTTTTATTTGAAAAATGTTAAGACAATCAATATCTATTATTATGAGTTAATTGCTTTGTATGTCCATGCAATTTGCTAATCCTTATTAGATACATTGAAACGGTAGTTAATCTTTAAAGTATTATTCACTCGTGATAAAGAAGTTAGATTAATAAAACTTAAATTTACAATGAATGTCAAGGTAGTTTGTATCTGTCTTCTGAATTCATGACTCATATTGAAAAACATTTAGAAAAACAGATGTAAGTAGTAGTAAGTAGTAAATAATTAAAATTTATTCATAAATTTGATTATTGCTTTGAATAGAAACATACTGACCAAAAATTGATATAATTTAGTAAATTTGTTCAAAAAGTTTAGTAAAGTAGTAAGTAAAGTAAATTTACATTTCTCACAAACTTATTTTACCTTGTAGTTCATATTTGTAGTACTCTTCCTAGGGTTGAATAACCTTACTGGGTTGAAATTTTTGACCACCATTCTCTTTCTATCAGACATACACCTATGAAACTAAACCTTTAAACATTGCATACATAACATAAAAAATAATAGGAAAGTTACATGCAGAACCTATCTAATAATTTTTAATAATTGTCCTATATCAATTACATTTCTTCACTATATTAATAAATTATAATAACTTCCTGCCTATTCTATTACTACAGAGCCATCATAAATGACGAACAGTAATTTTGTTTACAACAGTAATGTTATTTCTTTAACGTTGGCAATGAAATTTCGGTAAAATTAAAACAATACGATCAAGATTACATTTAAACACAACATTCTGTTTCACCGGCTGTGGTTGGTGTAATTTTTCACGAGATTCTATTCAACCAATCAGCGTTCCCATTATCTCGAGCGTAGACGTGACAGTTTGTCATTGTTCATTGTAAACCAGTTATTGATTTGATTTAATTGAGAGTACCAACCGTGCAATGTTGGTTGCCTAAGCTCGGCGGTCAAGTGGCTTGTAAACATTTGTGAAGGCTTTGTGTATGATTAAACTACTACATGATAAATTATAAAAAGCGAACTACTAACTGCAAAATAAAATAGTAAATACGTACAAAGTAAAATGAAAATGCTCGTCATCATCCAAAAAACTACTTTTTACAGTAGCATATAAATATGTGCAAATTCTGTATCTTGTGTACTTTTCCTCCGTTTTTAAATGTATTTGTTACATTGTTGTTAAGATACGCCTTTACATATACTCCGCGGTAGAAATTAATAGAGAGTGACTAAGACATAATATAAAAACACTATTACCATAATGCGTATAAAATATAAAATGATTTTTATACGGTTCAATATTATTTATCTTTGTGCAGCTCGCTACGCACATCGATATAATCTATAATCGTCTAGAGACCGAGTTACACCGAACGTCGATCTATATTCTATGTCTGTCTTTTGCACTTGGTAGGGAATAGGAAAATGCTTTTTTAGTGGGTGTAAACGGACTTGATTTAACCCGTCCTGAGAAACGTCATAGCATAAGCGTAGACGAGGAGTCTAATTCCATGGCTATAATAAATTTATAAATTAAAAAAACACAATTGGGACGTTTTACGCAGACACGCCAATGGATTTTCGTTCCCGGCACGCTTCATCCCCCTTACTAGTCCAAAAGCTAGCGATGAGTCACTCTCTATAATTTCGACCGCGGAGTATAGAATATTTTATTTACAATGGGATACGAAATAGATCAAATGAACCAAACATGTTTTAATTAAATGTTGTTCCTTTTCAACTTATAAGGTGGCAGAATCTGAAAAATATGAAGGTTTGGTAATATTTTGGAAATTACTCTGGAAATGGTAATAAAGCATTAAATACATGTAAACGGTAGATTTCAGTAATTTGTTCGACAAACCGTCAATTTGTAAAGAGAGAAAAGATTTAAAACATACCATGTACAGGGTGATTCACCATATTTTGACCCCCGCCCTAACTTTTTTGTTTTAAGAGTTATAAAAAAATGTGAAATACAAAAGTTGCATGATTTTTTTATCAAGTTTTCGACAATGATAGTAGAAAAACAAATGAAGTCCAAACAAAATTGCCGCGGATATTAACTTTGTTAATTTAAATGGAACACCCTGTATTTTTTTACATATTTGCATAAAACGTTCCCTGTCGAGCAAAGTCATATATGATTTGTTGGGTCCGTCTCTAAC